TACATGCATTCATACATTCATACATACATACATACATATAATAAAGGCTATGTTAAATTCAAACTTCATACCGTAAAAATTAAAAGTTCATAGCCAAGTTGGCGTCAGATTTAACCACAAGTAATCACTATGAAGACTTGTAAAGCAACTGACCTTCAACACCAGCTCTTGCTTACTCTACACAGGCTGCCTTCCTTCATCACATTCCTAATATATATATATATATATATATATATATATACATACATACATATATGTGTATATATATATATGTATGTATGTTATGAACACTACATGAACAGTGTCTTCATTTTAATCTTCATTGATGAGAAGATGAGCATGAGGACACACCCTTTCTGGTTCTCCTTTTCTCCATAAAATCCCCAAATCTCCTCTCTTCTTCCCCAGTATCAAAAGGGTTCCTACATCAACACGTGTTTTGGTCTCGATTAATCATAGTGACGGGTTTTGTTTACTCGTTGATACCTAAGATGTTTCTATGAAAACATGAACATTGTGTTAATAATGATGTCGGGAGTATAAAGTTATTTACCGAGAGTAAACGGGACGATATAAAGCAGGGCGGGCTGGCCGTGGCCGTCCATCAGGTTCAAAGCTACATAGGTAATCAGAAGACCTGACAAAAGTTTCAAGAAACCTTTCAAAACATGAACCAAACATCAAGACATCAAGACATCAAGACATCATTCCTTCCCTTCATTACCTGATCCATAAGCAAGCATTGCTGGTAAGAAGTAACCAGCCCGGAGGGTCTTATTAGCCAACCAGTCATGCCTGTAAGGATATCCCAAGCCTTTGTTATGCAGAGGTTTTCACTAACAATTATGAAGTATGGGGATGTGATGAAGGCAACAAAGCTTAAACCTGAGAGAAAACGCTACTATAAGTCCAGGTAAAAGAATGTCACCAAATCCAATGATGCTATAACCACCCCACGGATCGAACATGCGTGGGATCTTTAGCAGCATCGGGATGCCGTCCTCTCCGCTTTTGTCGCCACGAGCTACCTGTTAAGGATTTTCAATGGCAGCAACTCAGTCAAGTAGTTCAGAACTGTTGTTCTTCTAGTCTATGACAGTGTACTTACCACAATCATCACACTTTCCTTGAACAACTTCTTAGAAACAAAGACCCAAAAGATATCATAGAGGAAGGCACAACTGAGAAGCACTGTTCCAACCTTGAAAACACTCAAACCCAACAATTAACTGCTAGAAAAGGACCATCATGTTCTTCAGATACATCTACATAGAACATAGTTCGAAGTCGCTACCTTGAGATTCGGTATACGAACTATTTGAAGAACTGTAATTATCAGTGCAATTCCCTGGTTAACAAAGCATTAAAACAAGAATTCAGCTTCTTACATTATTAGGGATCTTAATTTTCATATAATAGAGAAAAGGATCTTGCTGACACAATTATCTTACAAGTATGTCTTGACCAATCCAGGCAAACGGCGCACTCCGATAGATAGCCCAAACGACAGCAAATGCTACGCAGAATGGAGAAACCGCCATACTGAGGTATGAAACAGCTCCAAAGAATGGCACTTTGATGTATGGTTCTCCAATTTCCTTAAAGCATCTGCATGACCATATAGTATAAGGAAGAAAGCCTGATCATACAAAATTACTAAGATTGATATCAGCACCTAAATTGATCTATTTGCACATGTATCTGCTAAGAATTTACAAGTGTCAAATGCAGCAAGAGCACGATCAATTTTTACCTCGACAATACCGCAACCAAACAAGTTTGCAAGCCCTGTAGATCGAGCAAGATATAATGTTAATGGACGATGTTTGAGTATCTGATGGGAAGTTGCACGCCATCGACTTTTGCAAAACAAGAACATTGTTATGTTTATTGAATGTCTGATTATTAAGACCTTTGTGGCATACCTCTGCGCCTCCTATGCAGAAAAGGACTACTAAAAGCTCGATGAACCAGTACGACATGAGTTTGTAAAGCAAAATCAAAAAGCACGACGCAACGATGACAAACAGGACTGCCGATGCCATGTTGATATATACAACACCAGGGCTGTCCATTTCATCAGCATTTTGAATATCATCTGCACCATCCTACAAGAAATTGTAATTCATCAAGTATACATTTACAATTCGAAGAACGACACCTAAATGAACGATGAGGAAAAGGTTGCTAGAAGTCGCCAGAGACTAGTTGGGCTACCTTTAGTAGCTTGTCCTGCTCAATAGCTGCTTCTCTAGCACTCCAGGCAGACCAAAATGATGAACACAAGATTGTACCGACAGCCATCAACCATAAGAATACTTCAGCTATGTCAACTGGTGGTCGTTGTGGTGAGTATAGCTGAACAGACACTGCAGGGTCCAAAAACATTTTAAGGGACAAAAAAACTGATTTGCTCATTCAAATGGAAAGTAAAAATAAGCTCCAATAGACACGGAGTCCATAGCCTAAGCCCATCATTAGCAAATATTGTCCTCTTTGGATTTTCCCTTTTGGGCTTACTCTCAAAATTTTTAAAACGCGTCTACTAGGGAGAGGTTTGCACACCTTTGTAAAGAATATCTCGTTCTCCCCCCAATCGATGTGGTATCTCACAATCCACCCCCCTCCCCTCCCTTCGGGGCCCAGCATCCTCGCTAACACTCGTTCCCTTCTCCAATCGATGTTGGACCCCTCAATCCACCCCCTTTGGGAGCCCAGCGTCCTTGTTGGTACACTGTCTCGTGTCCATCCCCCTTCGAGGCTCAGCTTCCTCGCTAGCACATCGCCCGGTGTCTAGCTCTATATCATTTGTAACAGTCAAGCCCACTGCTAGCGGATATTGTCCTCTTTGGGTTTTCCCTTTCGGGCTTCCCCTCAAGGTTTTTAAAACGCTTCTACTAGGGATAAGTTTCCACACCTTTATAAAAAATGCTTCATTCTCCTCCCCAACCGATGTGGTATCTCACCAAAGTACATATATCCCGTAAACGATCACTTAACAATAAATATTAGTTAATGAAATGACAACCAATTGTGAGTAAAATTAGTGTTTTCTATGAAAGCAGAAAGTAAGGAGAAAGCTTACCTGAAGAATTACTGATTAGCATCTTCTCCAAGCTTGTACCAGCATCGTGAGGGAGCATGACAGCAGGTATATGTATATCTAGATCAGTCTCATCAGGATCACAAACCATCTTGTAAAGGTCTGAAAAGTCCAGAAGCACGTTAAAAACACATCAAATAGATTAAACATGATGCACTAGATCTTCATATTAAATATCATCACTTACCCTTTTGGTTATTAACTATCAGTATAGCTGAAGCACCAGCAGCTTCAGCAATATTTGCTTTTGTAGTAAATTTGCAGTGACCTCGATCAACCATGATTATATCTCCAGAAAGCTAACAAATAACAGGTTGCTTGCATGATTAAATAATGTGCATAAATTTTCAATGTTCATGCCACTAGAGGAAGGAAGAACATTATAATCACAAAATGAAGAACCTTGTCCTTTGGCACACTGCAACAATCACGGGGATTTGCAAGAACAAGGCGTGTTTGGTTTGCATTTTTCTCCTTTGAAACGATGGTAGCACCAAATCTAGCTCCAACACCCACAAATTCACTGGCTTCTATGCCATCGATCCAAGTTTGAACTTTAACCTAATTGGTGAAACCCAATCAAAATGTTAACAAATTTCCAGAAAACCCAGTAAAATTATGAAGCCGAAACAAGAAACAGGCCTTGGATATATTACCAGAATGAAGTCGTTCTCACAGCCAGGCTTTTTGGGAGACAAATCGTCATGATGAACAATATCCCCACCCAACACGTAAGAAGGAAAAATCAGCAGCAAAACCAGAGAGAATAAGGAAAACCCACCATGAAAATGCTTCTGTAAATCCATTGATTCTGATGTTCTCAGCAAAAAAGAAGTTCAAAAACAGTGATGGGTCTTCTTCTTTCTCTGCATCAGAAATCTCGAAACCCCAGAAAGGAGAAAAAAACAAATGGGTGGCTTCGCTCTGTTTCGAGTACACCCAAAACAGCAACAGAGCTCAGGATTGGATATAAAAATGGGGGAAAACGTAGAAATCAAAGCAACACTAGATTAATGATTTAAAGCAGACAATGCATCATAAAATAAAGAGCATCATGGATCCAATGGATTAAAGAAAAATGAAGAACTGGACATGTAGATGTGAAATGAGGACAAAATTAATGTCGTGTATGAATCTTTGCTCGTGCTTCTGTTTGAACTATTACTGGGTTTTTTTGAAGTAAACGGGGTTTCCGTTCGAACTACCATTGGAAACGGCGGGAACCTTTTTAACGACATAATTAGACAATAATCGTCTTTATCAATGTTTTCTTTGCAGATAAGGACCTCCACTTTCTAATAATTTCACTTCACTGCCCATTGTGTATTTTTCACTAATTACTAGGAAAAAAAATCTATAATTAGTATTTTTTTTTTTTTAGTTCTAGAGGATTAAAGCAAGAATATTTATGACCAAAAATAGATTTTTAGTGCAGGAAATATGAGTTAAAATTTGAACTTCTCCCCTAATAAATTAATACTTTGAGTTCAAAATCAACTTTTTTTTTTAACTATTTATTTAAATAGATTTCTTACAATAAATGCTAAATATAAAAATTTAAATTTACAATCTCGAGAGAGGATGCTAATGCTATTCATGTGGACGTATTTAATTTAAATTATATTTTAACCATAAAAATGAATAATTTTGTTAGTATTTTCATGCTATTAACATAGAATCCTCAATTTTCATAAACTTGTGAATGCACAAACATAGGTCAAATGTGAGAATTAAAAATTAAAAATAAAAATAAAAAAAAACCTGAATTTAAATAGAGATCTCTTTTTGATTTTATATTAAAAAGGAAACAAAATTGAAGGACCAACCTGCAAAACAGTATAGCAGTTGTATGTGAGGGTAGTGTAATTAAGAGAATAAAAGTGGCCCGTTTGGCAAATATAGGAAACTTGGTGGAAATTTAAGGAATTTGACCTCAGAAGCAAATTAACCAAAACTTGCTGAAAGTTCCTCGACATGAAGGACAGGGTGTGTTCCTGCCGTCAGACCAGCCATGTGGTTATGGCAAGGCAAACGTCGGTGCAACTATCCATCCTTCTAAATTTACAAAAGTACCCTCTATCACACATTCAAAATTCTGAAGGCAATGACCTAACGACCTACACACACAGATAACAGTTGATTACGAGCACTGATTCGGATTCTTCGCTTCCATCTCCAACTCGGGCACGCATCTGAACATGGAACAATTGAACAAGTTATTCAGTGTCATGTATGAAATGATCCAGTTAAGAAGATAAACTAATCCTCATGATGCTGAAAGATTTGAAAGGTTCAAGCCCCGAGTTGCAAACTAAAAAGTTGTGTGAAGCTGGCTAGCTTTGAGGTGGACAAAGCCCCAAAGAGAATAATGGAGGTGGGTAGCGAGCATAATGCCGACAAGTCGATAGCAATCAAATCACGAACCTCTACAATGATATGATATTATCCACTTTGAGCATAAGCTCTCGTGACTTTGTTTTTTGTTTCCCTAAAATGGCTCATGCCAGTGGAGATGCATTCCTTACTTATAAACCTATCATCAACCCCTTAATTAGTCGACGGGGAACTCCTATCCCAACAATCCTCAACAATGTTTGCCGGAACATAATCATTATGAGTACATAACATTTGTTCAAGCTCATTTCCTGTAGCTAAATGATATTCTACCCAGCAAACAGAGTTTCGAAGATTCGAGAGTCTATATGTACCTACATCATTTCTCGTCTAATTTCAAAATGTTATGTGGTTAATTATCATGTATACAATCTTCTACTTGTTCTTCATTTTACTAGCAAACTGTGTCAGCTTTTTTCTTATACTAGAACCACAAACAGTAAGACCAATGTAGCAGTTGACACCAGATATTTTTTCTCACAGCTATGATAAATTTGATTGCACAGAATTGTTCATACCGTTGCTGCTTATCCAACCGACGACCAGAGCAACAGCAAAAACATATGGAGTAATTATTCCCTCAATCTGACCAACCAAATGCAACGGCCCTTAAACTGCTCCTTGTAGATAAATCAATTGAATATATATTTGCAATAGCAATTCAATACTCCACCAGTAGCATTTTTGATCCGAGGCTAGCGTCCAGAATTTTCATTCCTTTATTGAACCTTGTATCAATGACTCTCTGGTAACCTGTAACACGATAGAAAACAAACAAAATAACATGATCAAAAACAAAATGACTAGTATCTGCATTTTATTGTTCTCGAATGAGAAGCCCCTTTTACTCTTCTTTTAGTCAGGTATATGCTCCTTAGTATTGAGGAGACGAAGAACTTAAACAGATTGTGATGGCTGCTTGTTAGTTAGCACTAATAGCAAGCAGTTATGAGCACGGGAAACAGATCACTCAATTATTTGCAAGTAATGAAGCACAACTAACCACTAAATGAGGAGTTCCAGAAAACATTCGACTAATATGAGTTTAAGATTCGCTCGACTTACCGCCATGGAAATTCACTTGTGTCAATTCCAGCTTGGTGAAGTTCATCAACATATTGCAATGCTTCTCTGCATTCTTCTCTATCATCAAAAAAGTCTTTTTTATCACCTTCAATTTGATATGTTTCATGGCCCTTGCCAGCAACCACCTATATAACAAGCGGTAAATGATAAAAATGATATCACATAATGCTCAAACGGAATTAACTATCAGGCCACAAACTCATTACAGCTCATAAATAAAAGAAATTACAAAAGGGGACTCAATTTTAAGTTGTCAGTACCTTATCTTTGAATCCCATAATTATGAAAGCAATTAGATAATATATTCATCCTACAACCAAATCCCCTTTTATCCATAATTTCTTTTCCAGGTCTTCTTTTTCTCACTGAAGTAATGTGCCATCATGTACACACTCCCCTTTAAATATAAAGGTAAGAATCTATCAGCGAAGAATCATTTATTTCTTAAGAATCTTAAGCCTTTTTTTATCTGTAAGTTAATGCATTTTAGCAGAATCATTCACTACAGCAGAGATTTTCAATAAAGCCATTTTTGGACGTCTAGGTGAGGCAATCTCTTGAAATCCTTTGGTAATGATTCTTTTTTTAATATACAAGACAATTGGACAGTTTTTTGCAATCCTATTGGCTAGTTGGGAGGTTAACTCCTCCACCCTTTTTGCTCTCGTCTTTTGTGAGAATAATACATTTATGTTGAGAAATTTGTGAAATTTTATATGAAGTCTGCAACTGTCGTTTGGCTCACTGAATGTTTTTCAGTCACCACTAAAATTCAGACATAAGACCTCCATACAAAAAGGGAAGGGGGTATGGTAACTTACAACCACGTCGCCTTCCTCACCCATTGCAACACCAGCACGTACAGCCACACGTCTAATATCATGCAAGAAAATCCTATGACCATTTGGAAGAGGCGGATAGTAATCATTTTCTCCATGCTTCAAGTAATCCTGCATAGTCCAGCCTATACCAGCTAACATATCATCCAAAATGTCCACTGATCAAATGAGAAATTTTTGTCAGTATAGGACCATCAAACATTTTCTATGGATGCAAATTATCAGGAAGAAGTCATGACAACTGCACGCGACCATGATATTCTTTACTTGATTGCGCATGCATCTCTACAAGCATTATGTAGGTAAAGGTGACTCTTGGTAACTACTGAAGTAGAAAGTTAACATACATGGATCTTCATTCCTTGGATTATCAGATGTCAGAATTGTAATGTCACTTTTATCGGTTGCAATCTTTGTCATCATGGGTCTTTTCCCCCTGTCATGCTCGCCACAGCATCCAAAAACTTCACAAACCAAATAAGAGAATTTTAGTCCAAAAAGAAACATATTCCACGATTATTTCCTGAGGCTATAACAATTCAGAGGTAGAATAATGGGAAAGAATGTGAACTTCAGGTAAAAAATAAAAAATAGATAAATAAAGTAAGACCTGGCTGCTTCTATGATAAATGCAGTAAGAGTGAAAAAAAAAATTTACATTGTCATACTATATGGGAGATGATTGTCTTTAGATCAAGCCTTTTGCAAAGAAAACAGAAGGAAAGGAACTCTAGTTAATTGTAAGTTGAGAAATCTAGCGCTACTAGACACAGTTCCTCACAAGATATGTGAAGGTAAATTAGGAACTAGGAAATATACCAGTGATAATCCTCCTGGGCCCAAGCTCCCTCACAGAATCAAGCAGTCGGGACAGGCCATCTGGAGTATGAGCATGATCAACAATTACACCAAATGCCTGCTCTTCATCAATCAGTTCAAATCTCCCTGGAACAGCATCAACCTCTTCAATACCTCTAACAATATCCTCTAATGGTGCTCCCACTGCAATCCCTACTGACACTGCTGCAAGAATATTGTATATGTTATGCTTTCCAAGCAACCCTGATGATATCTCCAATATGCCCTGGGGAGTGTGAACCAAAACCTGTGTCTCAAATAGTGACAATTCATACTTCAGGGGATGGACAGCAGCATTTTTGTTTTCCATGGCAAAGGTAACAACCGGCACGTCTGGATTTCCTTGACCTATGAAGAATGGTGCATTCGGATCGTCAATGTTAACAACTTTTCGATGTCGATCTGGATCCACCATCCTTCTAAATAGCTTGGCTTTGGCATCCCTATACTCCTCTTCAGACCCTTGAAAATCCAAATTTGACTCCGGAGTCAAATTTGTGAAAACCGCTATATCAAAGTCAACTTCATCACATCTGCCACGAGCAAGTTCAGCGGTTGAAACCTCCATTACAACCGCTTCAGTTCCATTATGAAGCATCTTCGCCATTAAGTTTTGGACCAAAATAGCATCCGGGGTTGTACTTGGCGCCTCCAACTTATTGTCCCCATGTAAATAATAGGCCACTGTACCTAACAACCCAGTTCTCAACCCCATTGCCTCATACATCCCCTTTATCAAGAAGGAAGTGCTGGTTTTACCATCTGTCCCTGTTACTCCTATCACAGCCATATTCTTTGACGGGTTCATGTAAAAAGAAGCAGCCAATGCAGGAAGAACTGAATTAGTATCCTCCACCATAACTAAAGCTTTACAGCCCAAAGTTTCTTCTATATCTATCTCCTTGCTAGCCACCACAGCCACTGCACCCCTCTTATCCGCCTCAGTTAAATACAAATGCCCATCAGTTTCCCTCCCAACACAACATACAAACAAGTCACCCGCGTTAACCATTCTTGAGTCATGTTGAATGCCAGTTATTTCTATCTCTAAATTGCCAAAAACAGAAACTGGAACGACCTTACTTTCATCCAAGAGCTCAGCTAAAGTCATTTTGAACTTGGGTTCCACAATTCTAGTCTTAACTTTTCCATAGCTATCAAAATCCACATCAAAAGAATTAAAAGAAGATAGTTCATCCGAACCATGTAATTCCCTTGCATCGTCATCCAAATTCCCCGGCCCCTCTTCATCCTCGTCCTTGTCCTCATTCTCGTCCTCCGAAATCTCCGTAAGCCCCTGGAGCTCGTTAATTTCCTCCAAGTCCACGACCTCCTCGGTCTCCAACTCATCAATGCCCTCAAGAATATCTTTATCAATCGCCTTTTCTTTCTTTGGGTTAGGCTTGAGAAGTCCCTGCTTCACGAATTCCTTCCGCTTCATAGCAATAGCTTTGTCAATTTCACCGAACAAATCATCTCCAGAGCTCTCCGAGTTCAAATATTCAGCATTATCGGGAGCATCCTCGACGTCAGCAATGGCCGACAGATAAGTAGACTGATGCTTCTTGAAATCCTCCTCCTGAATCTTTTTCGCACGAGCAGCTTGGCGGTATATCTGTTGAAACTTCGAAACTCCATGGCCGGCATCTTCCGGAGCTTCCGGAGGGTCGTCGTCGGCCGGGTTCGGATAGAACTTTCCGTCCGGCCCGATGGCGGAAGGAACTACTGAGGGTCGGAGAATTCGAATGGTGGGAAGATATTGGCGGCGAAATTGAGGTCTTAGACATGGAATATTAGGACGAGGAGATAGAATGAGGGGAAACTGAAGAAAAGTGAAGGTTGAAGCCATTGAAATGGAGATTTTCCAGACCCAAGTCTTAGCGGCAAGTAGCAGCAGTTCCGACGGGGACGGAGGTTTGAAGCGGATAACGATTTGAATGTTGGAAACGACACCGTTTTGGTGAATGTTGAAGTGGGCCGTTGCTGCTATTGGGCTTTTTTGTGATCCATTTGTCACTTAGCAAACATTTGGACCTCCTTCGTAAATTTGGGCCTTTTATAAATAGGTAGCTTCTCCATTAATAACTTCTTTTTTTTTTTTAATCAAACTATTTAAAATTAATATTTTATTCATTAAATTATTCTAAAATTAACTCCTCAATTAGTATACATATCATTCATCAAAAGTTTAGAGGTTTAAAAAAAAATTACATGTTGAAAGACACAATGTCTTATTGTAATATTTTAATTAAAATGAATTACACCGACTACCTATCTTTTTACAATTATATACTCCGTCATTAAATAAGTTATAGCCTATTTAGTATGCAATAATGTTTCACTGGTGTATCACGTTCTAGTAGTCAAATCTAGTAAAAAATATTAATAGTTATGGTCCAAGAATCCCACTTTTAGTTTCCTTCCATTTACAGCTTCTTGACCTACCGCTAGGCCATCGTTCATATCAAATTTCCTGCCCTCTTGAGGAAACGATAAGTAATCAACAAACTAGAGAAATATTCAAACGAGTAAATACTTATAGAAATGTTGAAAAAAAAATTATTGTAAGTAACTTGTCTCTCGTGTTTTTAGAGTTCAATCAAATCAACCACCGACTCCACAAATTATTCGCCAACTTCGCCCACTTGAATTTTAGATTTTTTATTTAATGATGTTTAAAAATAATAATGTGATATAGATAGTAGAGATTAAATAAATTTTATTAATAATGTGATTTTTTTTTTATTCTTTTAGAATTAAAATTGTATTATTGTTGTAGTAGCAATCCCCAGGAAATGGGGCAATCCCATTGAAGAAGGGAATGGAATCTTGTCGTTGGCATTTATTTGGTCATTAAAGATCGCTCACTCTACCAACTACTAACCTAACACGTTCCTCTTCTCTTGCCATGTCCCCAAGCCAAGAACTCAACAAAGACCTTCGAGCCACACACCCCCCTTTTTTAGCTGGAGCCATGTGCATTTGTTTTCGAAGCGAGTACGCAAACCTGGGACAACATGGAGACAAAGAACTCTTGAAACAAGCTAATAAGATCTTCGCGAAACCATGTTATAATAACCTGATTAATTTGATTAAGCATACGTATTTGTTTTTTGAGAATTTACGAAAGTTTTTAATACATAGTCTCTACTCGTACCAAGTGCTTTAAGGTGCTCGTACGTGTTGGACGTGATGTTCAACTACTTCAAAAGTAATCGTAATGGGGTATATATATATATATATAATCTTAATTTAATTAGCTAATGTATCACAGTGCAATAAAAGAAATAAATATTCAAATGTTACCGTGTAATAACAATAATTATTGTGATGGGACATATTTTCCTAGTACAACTAATTGCAAGACTATCTTATAGTATATTCAAATATATAGGTTCTTTCGTGCATTTAATGCTCGTGATGAAATTTTGTATAATTCATTTCTAAAAATATTTTCATATTTCTTTCCTACTTTCATCTTTAGTTATAATGGCCGTAATTAAAAAATTATATTTCATATACTTTCATTATTTCAAGATTTTTTAATATTTCAAACCTACTTTTAAAGCTATAAATTAAATAAAAATATAAAACTATTAAATCTTTCCAAAACTAGTTCAACAATTATTCGCTTTATACCCTTCAAACTTATATATGTATATATATAATGTTAATAAAGTGCATTAACTTATGGTATATATTTTTTTAAAATAATAATAATAATGTGTTGTCGTTGTCGGTCATTAATAAGACAATGCTTCAAAAGAAGCCCATTTAAAATTTTGAAGATTTTCAAAGATTACAATAAATAACAAAATGTTACGATAAAATGATTAGTAGTCCTCACAAACTTTATGGTATAAAATATCTCATATATAAAATTTATTAAATAATAATTCACGTTAAATTTGTTAATAATTATCTAATTTTAAGTGGACGTCTCATTGAATTAATCCGGTAAGCGTTAATCGTAGATATGAGAGTGTTTATAAAAAAAAATGATAAATTTAAATTTAAATTGATTTAATAAAAAATATCATCAAAATATGGTGATAAACAAAATTTCATATAATTTCAATTTATAAATCTTATTTATACAAAAACTAGACATAAGTAGATAATATTATTTTATTTTTCGAATGAAAGTTAAAATAGAAAAAAAAACAAAAAGAAATTAATAATTTCCCATATTCATCCTTGAATTTCAAATTTCAAACAGAGTAATAATAAAAAACTGAACCAATGGCCTACAAGTTTCGCTACTGGTCTTTGTCACCACTCCAAATTGCTCATTAATGGCGGGTCTTGTAAACCAGCAATACGACAGCGTTTCCACAAATACCGATTACCCTCTACGCATCTGTACGACGTCGTACGTGGGGTAATCCATGGCCAAAGCTGCGAAGGGGTAACATGGAGTTGGAGTTGGGGCAGAGCGAGGGAAAGTAACCTTACAATTGCTTGTGTGTAAAGCTTTCTTTCTGCAAATTGGGCAGTCCATTTCGTCACTAATCAATCCAAAAATCAATACCCATGATTCAATTTTCTTCTCTTTTCGTTTTCTATATTTGTCCCATTTCAATGGCTTTTCTTTCTCCTTCTCTCTCTCCCCACTATTTTCCTCTTCGTCTTCTTCGCCTTTCCCTGTTATTCCCCTCTCTTTCATAGCTGTTTTCACTGTTCTTGTAAGTGTAATGGGTCCATCTCCATCTCCTCCTTCGCTTCTCGTGGATTCAAGCTGACCCAGGTGACCCATTTTTCTGTTTTTCCCATTATTCAGCTATCTAGTTTGCTCTGACATTGTAATATTGCTTCACTACTCACTAACACTGATTGCAAAAAGTTCATTTCATCTTTCATTTTTGTAGCCCCATCAAACCCACTTTCTTTTTTTTCTTCATAGAAACAAACAGAAACGGTCCCTTGCCTTATCTTGACTTACTGTTTAATGGAGACTTGTGTTGTAATCAGTAGTGTCATTTCGCCATTAACATGGCCTACCCCTTTTGTTTTCTGTATGGAAATGATATGAGGTCTCTTCAAGCAGTTTCCTCTGTATTTGGTTGGCTAATGGCCACCATTTGTCTTGGAATTGATAGAAATAGCTTCACTGCTTCCTTAAATTGTGGCTTATTAGCTTTCTTTACTTTATTTTGCTGTCAAAGATGCGTGTAGGGGAAGGCAATTAGTGAGTTTTGTAAGAAACAGGAGATAATAATACGTTATGTTCACTTCTGCTTGGAACTATTTGTCCATATGTATAATGAGTTTTTAAATTTTAAAAGAAGCAGGGTTTCTCTTTTCCCTTAAATTACTCTTGATTCATCCTTAATTTTAGCCTGCGTTTTGTTTTACTTACTGATGGAATGTTTTTTCATGTGTGAGAAGTGTAGACCAAGGTGATAGATTCTCTTTTGTTATCTTCTGATATTTTGGAAGACAATCAATTTTGTGCTCTTTTGATAAAGTGGTTACTTTTTTGGGTTCTCCTTTTCTTATCATTGTGAGCCATAGTTAATCATTCACCATGCCAATAGGGTCATCAGCAAGATTAGGATCACGGGAGAACAGAACCGCATGGACAAGAGGAAGCTGTTCTTGGACTACATTTCCTCCAATTGTTCTCAGCTGGTAAGAAATCCTCAGAATTCAATGGTGTCTGGTGAAAACATGTCTTTTTTGCTTCTGTTTTGAACTCTTTGTTGAAATTCTTGGGTTTCAATATTGTTTTTCTAGTATTTGACTGATGGGTTTGAGTGAAATATTCATCCATAAATGTATTTTGGGCTTCTCACTGGTGTACTACAGTTGTATTTGAAAGATAGCAAACCCCGTTCCAGTTTAGTCCTCTTTAACTCATGGTTTTAGATGCAACGAAAATATGGCATATCTGGAGAGATTTTCATTATTAAGACACTTGGAGGCATCAAGTGCCCTTACTATATGTGCTTTTGATCATTATGTTAACCAAAGGAACTGCTATCACATCATTGATGGAGATTATTTGGGGATTTTGATGATCCAAAGTTACTTTTTTCGAGTTTTAGCCTAAGCTTTTTCGTTATCAGAGTACCTTTTTTTGGCTTTATAAATCAGCTATCATCATGGAAGGAACTATGAAACATGGCGCAGTCTTTACTCTTGAGCTTTCTTGAAATTTTCTCCAGGGTAATAAATTATGAAACAACCGCAGCTGGTCAAACAAACGAGGGCTTTCTATAAAACAACACACAAATAATGGGAGCAAAGCATATGCAGTCTAAATCTAGCATGGTTGGAAAAGCCTCAAAGAGCCACAAAATGGTGTGCAAAGCTATTGAGAGGCCTAGCAGAGAATTTCAACAGCCGTCTCCCAAAAGTTTGGCGGCTGCATCATCAAGGGTAGCTTGTTGCAGAAATCAAAGATCTTGTACTTGTAAACGTTGTATGGAGTTTGGCCGACATAATGAGATTAGCCTAAAATTGGTTCAGAAGAGTGAAGCGGCTGAGCCATTTATGAGTAAGAAGTTTGTTGGTGTGGCTGACAAACAGTGTAAACAATTACTAGATGCATTGGGAATTTTCAACTCAAATAGGGAACTGTTTGTAAATCTACTACACGACCCAAATTCTCTGCTGATTAAACGTATCGAAGACTCTACCGATTCTCGGGACAAAAAGCAGCAGACGAAGACTATCTTCAACGGTAGATTATCAGAAAATAAGATAAAAGAAGTGGGGGAATACGAGGAGCCTGCCCATAGTCACAATTTGAAGCCCTGTGATAGTGATGATTCTCTATCCTTGGAAAGAATAGTAGTCTTAAAGCCAAATCCAAGTAGCTCACTACATGCGGCTGTGGGAACCAATTCTGGCTCCTCTCTGAAATCTCATTCTAGTTTCATAAAGAATGTGGAGAGTAACAAAGGAA